AGAGCAATGTATCGCCAATGCGTGGGTGGGCCAGCTTACAGTGCAGACGATTGACTTTAACATCTTATTTATATCAATAACTGTTCTACTCACTGTGCGAAAGGGTCACCTGCTCCAAGACTCGTCATTGTGGAGTGTCGTCTTGATTTGTTTCTGTGCATGGATCCCAGGAATTATCACCAGTACGTGACTATTCTGAGATTGGCTGCAACCTGATACTCACTGCTCTACAAAGGCTTCGCCGCTCTGGGGCTTCAAGCATACGGTCCGGTCGGCGGCAATTGGTGCTGGATTCAAAAGAAGTATCCCATCCTACGCTGGAGCTTATCGTTCGGCTGGCGGCTCTTTATATTCTTCTTGGTCATTATTATTTATACCATGGTTTACTTCCAGCTCAAACGGGCGTTTGGTCGTTTTGGCTTTTCAGGGCCTTCTCCCAACGGAACAAATCTCACTTCTACTGAGACAGCAACGCGCACTCAGCACGACACAACTCCGTCTGAGCCGCACATCCTGAAAAGCTCGTCGCTTACTGTTGCCTATGAACTCCGACAGATGAATGGTCCGAACAGTGATTCATCATCTACGGCACCACTGAGCAATCAAGCTCACTGCTACAGCAGTCCGCGGTCTCATTTTTCTACTGCCAGCGCTTCTACGCCATATCATACTACCTTTTCCCAACAGGCACGTATGCCTGCAGAGCAGCTGCGGAAGAAGGCATCACCCAATCTACGAAGGATGATGCTGTTGAATGGCTATCCACTAGGCTATCTCATTCTCTGGACTCCTGGAGTGATTAATCGCTTCATCGAAATTAAAGGCATGTCGTCACCACCATGGCTCATTGCTTTACTGGCTTCTACACAATACATCGGGCTAGTACATGCAATCACTTATGGCTATAATGAGCAGCTTAGACGGTCTATGCGATCTTGGAAGGCCTTCAGGCAGAGAGCGGAAAGGATTGAGGATTAATGGATTCGAGGAAGCTGAAGATAAGGCCTTGCGGCCAGGAGCGTTTAATATGTCCGCTCCATAGTCAAGTTGTATAGTAAGATGAAACACAGAAGCACAAATTGATCTACAGTGTTATTGAGCGAGTTGAGGATCCATTATTAAGCCTTCTTTTCGTGCGATTTGCCAGCTCTGGGATTAGCGAAATAATTGGTTAAGTCATTCAAAAGTATTTCGCAATCTGTAAAATGGATGATCATTCAATATCTAACCTATACATATTGTCCCGATTAAGTCAAGATACTCAACTATCACGCCAACACCGGCAGTAATGTCCACTACATGGTTTTACAGACGTGACATGCAAGATACAGTGTCAAAAGCCTCACGTTGGAGGGGGCTAAAATACATGTAGGTTTTCTATACTGTAAAGTAAAATAAGCTCTCAGTCACAGGTCTCAACTGTAAATAACACATACAAACGAAAAGGTCTAGATACAGTGGAATTTGCTCTGTTCTGTGAATGGTGTTGTCATTAGCTACCAGCGCGTAATATAGGGTGCTCTGTCAAATGTAAATCATTTCATAAGACGGTAGCTTGCATGCGCGACTCGTGAGAACTGGGTGGTTAAAGCAAATAGTTATATATTGATCAATCCTAGCCTAAGTAATTGCAAACGAGTGTCCCTTGTCAATTCTGTCCAAATGAGTGTGTTGATCTTCTGATCAGTCGATCGTGTAATCGCATTCTTGTGTCAGTCTAGTCGGCCGATCAGGCCTTGAGAAATGTTGGCTCCTTGCTAAGCTGAAAGTCAGTACTGTTCATACGTCGATGCTTCGACTGAAACTGTAAATCTTTTTGAGAGAATACATACTGCGAGCTCAAGCCAACTGATAATAAGTTGGAAGAGGCTGCGACTTCTCCCAAAAGCTGATCGTGACGTCGCAGTTCTTATAGACGGCATAACAAGCATCTCCTCCTCCAAATGAAGTTGGGAGAATGATCCAGTAGGTGCCGCTATAATCACCAAGATTAAAGTTATAAGTAAGGTCAACGTTGTCATTGTTACTACAAAGTCTGTGAGTATGAGGTAATATAGGGAACGATGGTGTAACGCTCCTTGGACAATGAGGCGAAAGACTTACCCAGGGACGGATTGCGTGATCGACTGAAACTTGGCGTTCATGACGCCTCCATGAAACCCATTGACGTAAAAGGTTGAACCAGGAGTGGTAGGCAACTTGTGGTTCTGCTTGTGGTGGTTACGTCCGCAGTGAACGCTGCTGATAAGGTCGCATTGCACTGCCGCATTGGCAACTTGAGAGAAGCCAAGGAGAACGGTGAGTGCGGCAACACTGTTGGCTGGAGCAAAAAGGCTTGAGAAGAACATATTTAACAGCGAAAGTGTTAAAAAGAAAGTGTTAAGTTCAGAGTAAGGATACAGGAAGTTAGAAGAGGTCTGGTCTTGAATAAAGGCTTGGATTTAAATCTGGACTTCTGATGATCTTGGGAGCATCATGGGCATATATATAGCCAGAGGCAACCTAAAGAGGTCAAAGCTGCCAGCTATCAAAGGACCACGTGTTTTTTGGGGAGTTAGAAAACAGCTATGTTGTTATGTTGACCGGTAAGATATTGGGTCGAACTATTTGTTGACGTATTATGTTTCTAACAAGTCAGCAGTATGTTTCATCCAGGCTGATCATCAATCTTCCTGACATGGAAATGAAGACTGTATCCGAGTTCGCCCCGCCATTGCAACAGCGTGTCTTCTCTGTTGGCCGATTGCATAATTGATACAGCTGTCAAAATGAACTGAACCCATCCGTGCTTCTATTTTGCAGAACTTGACACGTCAGATACACGATACACGTGTCAAGAGGGACTGAAACGATCCGTGCTTCTGGAATTGAGGAACTTGACACGGTAGAAACTTTTTGACTTTTATCAATTGCCGAATAAACAGATTGATACCTTGGATTCAGTAGTAAAACCACCTATTGAGTAAATGGACAGGGGATTGTTGTTGCCGATTCCTTGTCTTGTTGTCAACATCCTGCTACGAAGTTTAATGCAGTCACAAAATTGCTCTGGAGCGTTCCTATAAAAGATTCACTTACCTCTATCATTATCTCTTCCAGTGTACCAAATCAAATCACATCGAATCAACAATTAACATTACTATTCAGTCTTTATCTTCTTCACCATGCTTATCGGTCTTGTTCTGGCATTGGCAATTAGTCAAGCGCACTGTCTCGTCGCCAAAGCTGTGCAAGCGAACACTTCTTCTAAAACTACCACGCCTCTTTTCGTAAAGGATGGCAACGAGTTCAAGCCTTATGACCCTTTCGACTTCAAGGACTGGGCCCCTGAACCCTCCTTCTACAAAGGACTTCATATGATCGAGAAAACCATAGAAGTTGATGGCCAAAAGTTAACCTATCAGGATTTCAACATGTCTTCCCTCAGTCTGGAGGATTTTAAAACCCATGTCATGAATACTGAAGACTTCCTTGATGCCAGTGGGAAGTTCCTCCCATCGAATGAGGAGGTTAAGGCTTACCAGTATGTCCCCATCCTTCGGAGCTTTTGCTATTCTAGGACGTATGGTGATAACCAGATTTCCAGGAAGTCGCTTATTGCCAACGAAGAAGATCCCAATGCCAAGCTTGTCCTCCCAAAGAGTCTCAACAAGAGGGCTTGTGTCTACGATGGTGACAGATGCTCTGCCCAGTGCACTAATCTTATCTCGCGCGGCATTCGCCAGTCTTTGAACACCAATGTATACGGAGCATACCACTATGTATCAGGTTCTCTTTGTGGCACTGGTTCTATCTCCAAGTCTGTGTCAGTCACACATCCGTCTGGCGTCTCCATAGGAGCATATGGAACAATCCCTGGGGTAGGTCAGGAAGGAAATTCAGATTAACTTCAAAATTCCCACCCTTGTTGACCTTTTTTTTTCCTCATTCGCTAACTTACGATGAACAGTTTGGAAAAGGCTGGGTTAAGACGGTATCAACGTTCTTTAGCACCTTTGGCATTTTCCCCACCAAAGGCGCTGACTCGTAAGTAATCCCGAAGCATCAAGCAAATATCGTGGTCTTTTCTCGGGTTTTCCCCGCGGGACGGGTGTTCTGACACTTCATCGCAGCGTCACCACCAATATCTCTTACAGTGGAACCTGTGGTCCTTTTAATGTCTGTTTCCTCTGGGAAAGACCTCACTTTTCAGTGGACAAGGGTGTCATAGTAGTAAGTTATAGGCTGGCTACATATATAACAGTTCTAACAATCTTTGGTGCAGACCCAGTTCATCGATGTAGCTACGAGGCGAGCATGCAGAAAACCTCAGGTTACTCCCTACGAAGCTCATGTTATGCACAGCGAGAGGGATCCCGGCGGTGCCAGTATGTTTTCTTTCTCTTCAGATTTTATTTTGGCAGTTGAAGGCTAATCTTACGAACGCAGCTTCTAACGGTATCTGCTACTCTATGGGCAACCACGGATGCGGTAGTCGAGTTGATGCCTCAAACACTCTCCAACGCTGCCCTAATAACTATTAGGACTTGGTTCAACACGTTTATGACGACATTCTCTATATACTGCCTACTGCCTTCAGACTCTACAAACGCTAGAGTCTTTGGAACAAAGGCAAAGGTAGCTAATAGGAGCGGTCGTTATACAAGGTGTCTTAGTAGTTAGTGAGTCAGTACCTTTGGCACTCGATATCACGATATGAGAGCAGTTAACGAGGCTTGGGGATTGAAGCCAAGAGAAGAAGACTATTATAAAGCAACACTGTCATTACCTACAAATATGGATCTCATTATATAAATACCTACAGTCATTACTGGCAAATATAAATCTTATTATATAAGTACCTATAGTTCTTATTAGCTTTATCCTGTTTTGATAGTCTATGAAAACTCCACATACCTGTAAACCTTGATCTCCTACAATAATATTCTTCTTATTCAAGTCAAGACAATGCCTTTTCCTGAGCAACTTGGTGCCATATGGCTTATGCATGACTCGGTATTACTTGTACTGCCTCAGGCAGATGCTTATGTAATGGATAAGCACTTCTCAGAACCTTCCGCCGGGGCCCGGCGGCTTTCTGGGTGCCAAGGACGTCAGTAGTCCACTTTTGTACCGCCATGATACTCCGATCCCTCCCCTTCCTCGTATAACGTAAGCCACAGTGTGACTCTCCGCACTCTTAAAGGGGGAAGACTGGGGTTGGGTTGGTTACGCTAATGTATAGTACAGTAGCTTCCGGAACGTTTAGGCGCCACACTTAACACCTTTGAACTAGAACAATGGGATAGGGGCGGCTAGAGCGGCTTAAAGTATGCTCTTTGACCTCGCAACTCAAAATCCCAAGTTTAATACTTTTTATTAGAAGACGTACGTGTTCTGTTGGCTTTTAGATGTAGCCTCAACTGTTTAGCTAGCTAGTCTTATAATCGTTTTTGGCAAGGGGCTGTGAACCGGCCATAAGTTGTTGTATTAACCCTTTTCCTTTTCTGGGTAATTATTCTTCCCTAAGCCCTAAAAGATCAACAACGCCAGCAGGAACAGTAAATCCGGAAATGACTAGTTTTGATTAGAGAAAGTTCCGCGACTAGCTTAAACCTTATTTATCACTATCACATCAGCCACCAACAGTTGGCTTTGTACAGTCCTGCAGGTGACCATTGCTTTGCTATTCTAGACACCATACTGTGTGCACACTCACTCGCCAGAGGTTCTTCTTATCGGCTGATTAGCATTACCAAGCAGCTCACAGTTACCCTGACGCGTCATATCACATCTCTAACGTTTGTTGGGATAGCCTACACGGGCCGCTCTGCAAGCGAGCTCGAGCCAGGACAACACGAATTCTGCGTGGTTTTTGTTCCCTAACTGAAAGCAGGGACACATCTTCAGCTTCACATCAGAATTATCTAAAGGTTATTAAATGCGCTAGTCCAGGCTTCAATTACTTCTCAAGTGACAGAGTCCATGGTTCACCCAACAGTACAAGAAGGGGATCGAAATGGAGAACCAACAAGTTGCATGTGATGGAAGTAGCTTACACTGTTCGATTTCCGTCAGTTACAATCACAGTGCGTAACTTTGGGGGTTTCTCAAGGCCACCACGTTCGCCTGTCTCGCTGTGGAATCCCCCTGAAGAGCATGCATCATCGCAAACGCCACCGTGCGCCTACAGTGGCTCTAAGCTGAAACGGGGGGGTTCAAGATAACTTGGCTTGTTTAGAGCACTGGCTGGACTCAAAGCCTTGCTCTAGGTATGTGGCCACGCTGTACGCTGTATCTCATGAAGCTCAATTGTGATACAAGTTTCTTAGGTTCATCTTCCTTTTCCATCTTCTTTAATTATTGAGAAACTGCGCTCGGGGTAAGGAAAGACAGCAGAATCGCATACACTAAAAGCCGCTGATCTCTCACCGACTCCTGTCCGTGTTTTTCCTAGCCCCTTGGGCTATCTGCACGGCCCAAACATCATAAACTTAACCAAGGGAATTTCTGCGGGCTATGGTGTCATTCACTCCTTTGCAATTTGGAAATACGGGCTGCCGTGTTGTTCTAGCGTCCTTGAAGCCGTCCATGGAATCGATCCAAGGACCAGTCAATTTCAAGGTCTTGTCTCACTAGCTATTGTACATAAGCTCCAAATTTGACATGACCCAGACCTGATCCCCCCGCTCTTAATCCTGCCCGTCAGACCTACGCGATACTTCTAGTTTCTATACACTCCCGAGAAACAAATCCCTCAAATGGCCAGAACTACTAAACTAAATTCCCGCACGCGAAACTACAGGAAACGCAGCAGGAACGGATGTAATTGCTGCCGGGCTAGCCATCTTCGTTGTGATGAACGACAACCGATCTGGTAGGACTTTTCTCAGGATTTTACTCTCTCTCTCTCTCACACACATCTTGGTATTGATCGTTCATCTTGCCCCGGATTGCCGCCATTATGGAATCATAGCTAATCGTTGTGGCTGATACAGCACAAGATGTCTCAGTCGAGGCTTTTGCTGCATATATAGACCTCGTTTTACAATCATACCATCGCTTCCGGCGCCTCCTACTGCTAAGGAGAAGATACGATCGCCCCTCCTTCCAAAGCCCTCGAGTGTTCAAGAGACGACAGAATCGCCCCATCCGGAGGTTCTGCCTACCACGTCGGAGTTACAGTTGACCGCGGTATCTCAGCAGGCAGCGGTTGACCCAACACCTTCATTGACGCATGCTGGAGAAAGCCTTGTTCGATATGATTCCGCCCCTGAGTGAGAACCCCGACATCTTGAAACTCGATGGCTATACAGACACTCGGTGCTGACATGTCTTGTCAAGCAGTACGATTCCAATATTTCATGGCACCGAGGATGGGAAAACTGAAGTAATGTGGGCACTCAATTATGTAGGTCCTATTCTACTGCTAAAACCCTACTAATTGTCCTGAAGGGCTGTATCTACGCTCCGTACCTAGATATGGGGATGTACTCGGGCCCCGACGGCTGCGACCTCAGCATACCTGAAGGATACGCGCAAACTCTCCCATCTCCAGCGCCCATGATTCCTACTTTTGTTGATGAAGCTGCGATCTGGTCAACACCTTTTTGTTCGTCGATGGTATTGGGTAGTTTCCCTGTGGGAGGGCAGCCGAGCTGCGCGTCTTGTAGCCTGCAGGCGGGAGCATGCAAATATTGTGAACCATTCTGTAGAGGTTTATCGAGTGATGAGACCACATGTCCATTACTTCAAGACCCATTATGTAACTACAAATCATTTTAATCAGTACTCTGATGACTGCAGGTCACCGGGGATGATTCTTTCCATTTGGCTATCATTGTAGATCATTTGTTATGGGGAGGCCTCAAAAGTGAGGTTTTCTGTATTGATAGCAGTACTACAGCAACATAAGCCCTGAGATATTTACAGTGTTACGCAGCGAATTTGCCTCTGGAAGGCCGCATTTCCATCATACCGATGCGAGGATGTACCGCCTCATTAGTCGTTTTCCTTTGTGACGCGCGTCGAGCCGGCATTGTCAAAACCTTCTCTTTTGGGTCCTTTGAGGCGACACAAGCCTTGAGTAGTGTTCTATCAGTTAGTAGGGCTGCTTGTAACGGCCTCTAGAGAAGCGTCGTTCTGTAGTGCGGAGTCTGGGTAGGGATACTGAAGCTGAGAAGCAAAAAGGCTGTAGATCGCCACGGGGGTTTGTCTCATCTAATATGTGGAATAGCATGACTTCATCGGCCCTCGATAGTGAGTAAAACAGGACGATACCGGTCAGTAGTCGGGTTTGACAATGGCCTTGCGCCATTCTACACAATTCATTTCGGGACTTCCGTAGATAAGGAGACGTTGACGCGTGCCAGGCAAACCCGGTAGGAGTCTAGACTTTCCCGCTCTATTACCCCTCTCTCTCGTAGGGCAGGATCAGACCATGGTTGAAGCTACGTAGCACTGTAGGACGCTCTCCGCATCTCGACGGCGGTTCTTGGACCAGGTGTTCTTCGGGACCGAGTCCCCTAAATACCTTCATCTGTGCATCTTGACGACGCGCATTTAGCTTCTAAGCAGCGTGTCTAATAGATAAATAACTCTCCCTCTAGCGTAGGCGTTCATAGCACTTGGCGTCGCGTCAAATACAGGGAAACCAGCCACCCCCGGAAACCGGCCACCTTACTGACCAGTATGAGTGCCTCAGGCATCAATTGAATCTTGCTGTAGTGGCCTATTTCTGACGGTGGCTAGTTTCCCTGTATTTGATGTCACTCTTTAAGCTTTATTAGTAATATCTTCATGTATGATCTTTTGACGAGACTGGTCTGGTCTCTCGTGTTCATTTATCAACGACTGGCCAGATTCAGATAAACAATGCCTGATATATTCCACCGTACAACAATATATTATCCCAATATCGTATCATCTTTTCACTCGCAAGCTACTCTTCAGCCCTTGTCATGATGTTCTTTTGAAAGGTTACTCCGCTGTTATCAGCAGTAGCTACGGGTCATGCTACCAGCGGAATCACCACTCCGGACGATATTCCCGCCGGCACCTCCCTGGAGCATTACCCGCCTTCCCCATCTATCTCTGTTGAACCTACCTTCTGCGTTGAGTTTGCTGGTACATCAGCCGAGCCTAATGATCTGTTCCTGAAGCTCATCACGCAGTTGACCGATCCTAGATCACAGTCGGTAATCCGGCCTAGTGTACTCGCCATGGACAGCAAGTCGCAGTAGCATAGATACTTACCGCAATTACCTAGAGGCCAATTGTCATATCATGCAGCATTCTGCTCTTCTATTGGTAAATCCGTGTAAAATGTAACCCTGCCCCAATGTGTCAACGAGCTCACCTCGAGGGCGAATCAGGGAGACTCTTGGCCTTCTGAGACTCCACTCATGTTCGCTCCAGAATTTGACGTGTCAATATGGTTACGAATCAGGTCAGCAACCCTGACTTTTCCTGAATTCAAAACTCATATCACTCCATTTCGGGTTCCGGATTTTCTCCTCTTCTGTTTTCCCCTCTCGCATTGTGA